TAGAGTCAAACTGCTACTCTCAACCAAAATCTGGCAAATCTTTGAGTACCCACCTAAAAAAAAAAAAAAGGTTGAATAAATGATGAAACACTCATGCTGTGGAACAGTATTCACACGGGGTTTAAAAATATGGCCGGGGGGGGCTTGGGTTGTGGCTCAGTGGTAGAGTGCTCGTCCTAGCATGCACAGGGCACCGGGTTCGATCCTCAGCACCACATAAATGCAAACTAAAGATATTGAATCCACCTTAAAAAAAAAAAAATATGGCCAGGGGGGTGGCACACACCTGTAATTCCAGTGACTCAAGAGCCTGAGGCACGAGGATTACAAGTTTGAGGCCAGCCTCAGCAACTTAGTGACACCCTGTAGTTAAAAAAAAAAAGGACGGGGCTCAGTAGTAAACTGCTCCTGGGTTCAATCCCCAGTGTGTGTGTGTGTGTGTGTGTGTGTGTGTGTGTGTGTGTTTTAGATCTATTTGTATTCACCTAGAGAAAATTTAGGAATATATTGACTAAAACAACAACATAAAAGCAAGTTTCAGAATACATATACATTATTTTTTCTCTTTTTTTATAAATAAGGAAAAACTCATATGTATACATGTACGTATATAAATGTACATGTGCATAAGCTAGAATGAATTCAGAGAAAAAAGAGAAATGATACGTGAATTTTTTCACAGTTATTTTGGGGAAGTTGTGTTAGAGGGGGAGGGAGGGTCATTGTCTTCTTACCCCTTTCAGCACCCTAAAAACCAAGTCCCACTTTAGAACAGCCATGCAGATAACCACCAATGGTGTGGGAGCGACAGGTAGGAAACCTGCCCATGGTGGTCCTTCCTAAACCCTCACCCCACTTCTCTCCCACTTCATGTCTCTTTACTGAGCAAACTGCATAACAAGTCATCTGACATTCACAGCCTCCTGGATTTCATTTTAACTTAGCCTCTTATATTTAGAATCAAGAGACTAAAGCCCCCCACCTTTACCACATGGCTCCACAGCGCCACCCTCTGGTATGTCTGAAGAAATACTTCTTCAAGTCAGGTCTCCCTAATCCTTTAAAGAAGGGCCTTATTTATTTTTTGGTGCTGGGGCTTGAACCCAGGGCCCTGCACATGCTAGGTGAGTGCTCTTATCACAGAACACTTCAAAGCTGGGAGCAGCGGCACGTACCTGTAGTCCCAACTATTCCAGGGGTTACAGCAAAAGGACTGGAAGTTCAAGACCAGCCTGGGCAATTTACAGAGACCCTGACTCAAAATAAAATTTAAAAGGCTGGGGATGCAGCTCAGTGAAACAGTTGCTTGTCTACCACGTGTGAGGTCCTGGGTTCACGCCTCAGTTTCACAAAAATAAGTAAATAAATAAATAAAAATATAGCCGGACATAGAGCACTTCTACTCCCCCCTAAGTTCCTCAAGACGCTCTGCTGTCAACCTCTTCCCCCGGCACGGATCTGTTTTTTGTTCCTGTAGTTTTTCCAGAATGCCAGGGACCTGGGCAGAGAAGCGCCACATCTGTGTACTAAGATCGTGACGACATCCGAGCTGCAGGAATGTGTGATTCCTTACTAAACTGCTGAACCGCACTCCACAGCAGGGACCTACGGGCTTCCTATCAACCTGTTGCAGGACGTGGGAGTTTTTCCAGTTTTCAGCTGCGGTGCACAAGCGGCCACAGACTTCCCCGACAGGTCCTCAAGGGCTACTTTTAGTCTCGCTAAGGCCTCCTCTGGGGGTGCAAGGGGTGTGGGGAGGAGGGCTGCTAAAAGTCGGGAAAGTCGTTCGAGTGGGGCTGGAGTGCGGCTGGGGGCAGCGGCGGAGCCCTGGCCGAGAGCGGCCCGGGGCTGGGGTGCTGCTGCTCGGGGTGCCCCTTCTCCCGGATCCCTGCCCCGCGCGCCGCTGGAGCCGCACCGGGAAGGGACGTGCGCCCGGCTCGGCCCCGGAAACCGGCTCCCGCAGCCACGCCGCACAAGGCGGGCGCCGTCGCAGCGCACCCCGCGGACGGCTTACCTGCCAAGGATCCATGGCGCCCCTCGGGCATCGCCCCGCCTGCGCGCCCGCCTGCACCCGAAGCCCCCCGGGACGCGAACCCCGCGCCAGTGTGCCGGGCGCAAGATGGCTCCGGGTCAACTTCACTTTCGTTTCTTCGGAAGGACGGCCCCCTCCGAGGGCTGGGCGGGGTAGGGCTCGGGCAGCCTAGCGACCGGCCGGGCCTTGCACCGACTGCCCCTCGAGTGCCTTCCCGGCCTCCGACCGGAGGTGGCCTTTCTTTAGGAAGTCGGAGAACCTGCCGCGCCCCTGACCCTCCCGGGGCCTCGGAGGAACGCGAGGCTCCGGCGGGAAAAGCGGCGCTGGGGAAGCGGCCTGAACTGGACTCCGTGGGTCTCTGGGGGGGGTCCCTCCAAGCGACTGACGCCCCACTGTGGGCTGTCTGTCCATGTCCCCTCCGCATCGCGAGCTGCAAATCAGCGGGCACCAGCCAGGCGACTTCGCAAGATAAATCAAGGTAACCGCAAAGGGACGATCTGGGACCCACGTCGGCGACCCGCCGCTTCCCAGGCCGGGTGAGTACCCCAGAGTCAGCTCTGGGGCGGACACTGGCCACGCGCAGGGGTTGAAGCCGGGCTTACTGTGGCCACGGGTAAGCTGCTGGACGGGGTCTGGTTCCGAAAGCTCACACTCGGTCACGACTCGCTCACACCACTACCTTGTTATCTAGGAGGAAAACACCTACGGATTCCATGGTCAAGCTTACCTAACTGCTTGCCCTTGCATCTAACCCTAGGAGAAGACCCACAGATCCGCTCCAGGGCTCAGCAGCTCCTTCCCCCCACTCGGGGAGAAGAGCCTTTATCCTTTTTTTTTTTTTAATTTTGTTTTATTTATTTATTTATTGGTACCAGGAATTGAACCCAGAGATGCTTAACTGCTGAGCTATATTCCCAGCCCCAGAAATTCCCTTTTCTGTGTTTGATTTTTTTCCCCACCGCTTGAGATTTATGTCCCTTCCAGCTGATGCCCTGTCGCCACTGTCCTCTCGTTCATCCAACCTGTCAGTCACACTACATTTCATTCTCTTGTAGGCAGTGATCTTTCTTCCTTCTGTGTCTTTGCACATTCTGTTCCTTGACCTAGAATGCACTTCTTCTGTTGAAGTAGTCTTTCAAAATCAGCTTCAAATATTGCAGGAGAGAGAGGTCCCTCACTCCAGGAGGGGGATGGGTGAGGCAGCGGGTTCAATTCTTGGTTCCTGGTTCTGTGCTTGCCCCTTATTCAGCATTTATCCCTTGTTCCTCTGAAAATCCTTCAGTCATTTAACATCACTTTACTAGGCACCTAATGTGTGCCAGTGTGTGAAGCACAAATAAGAGCCCCTTCCTGCAGCTGTCAGTCAGTGGCAGGGGTGGGTGGCAGCCAGAGGATGGATGCCTCAACAATCATCCCAGTGTTAGGCATTACTTGTTAATATAGTCTTCTGAGGGCAGAGAACATGTTTTATACACCCCTATATTGCTGGTTAGTTGAAATGAATGAGAGAGCACTCGGCAGGTAAAATAATGGGCAGGAACATTGGGTAACTTCACAGGATGAAATTAAAAATATCAATAACTATATGAAAAGATCCTGAATCTCATTACATCAGGGAAATGCTGGGTAAAGCTGCAGTGAGCTACTTCCTATCCACTCAACAGGCACCATTAACCACTGGATCAGAACAGGTAGGAGCAAGGACAAAGAGCAGCTTGTCAACTGCAGGAAGCCAGTTTGCTTTTACCCAGGAAAGATGTGAACATACATACACACTCCACAATTCAGCCACTCCACTCCTACAGGAGGACACACATACAAGAAGTCCGTAGATGCACTATTTGTAATAGCCCCCAAACTTCTGGAAACAACTCAAATGTTCATCAAAGTAAAATGGATAAATAAATGGTGGTATATGCCTATGATGGAATATTGTATAGCAACACAAGAGAAATACTACAACTGCAAACAACAAGGTGGGTAATTATCTAAATGAAATTGAGAGGAGCCATATATACATTATATATGATTTCATTTATGTAAAATCCCCAATCAGGCAAAACTAAACTATGATACGCCCTGCATAAAGACAGGATGGTTTACCTTTAAGGAGGAAATAGGGGGTTTTGACTGGGAAGGAATATTCTGGGTGCTGGGGATGTTCTAGTTCTTGAACGGGTAGTAGCTAGATAAGTTTGCTTTCCAATAATTCATTAAGTTAAACATTTATATTTTATTCACATTTGGTGTGTACATGAGTGTATTTCACAATTTTAAAAAGGTTAAGAAAGAACAAATCTTCCTGCAGCGACTCCAGCCCATTTCCCCATGTTCTTTTCTCCACTGAAGCAACATGAGTCAGGTCTTACCTCACTTCCTTGTCTTCTGGATAAATAATCTCAAAGTCTTTAACCTTCTTCAGGAATGATCCAGAAGCGCTTCGGCTGCTTCCCATCCCTTTTAGTCTAACATAGTATAGAGCGCTGAAGCTGAAAGGAGAAATGTCTTTTCTAAAGACGGTCAGTTTGTGCCTGGAAAGAACTGCTGCTGTCATTTAATCTTAGCAGCTCAGGTAACTGCCAAGAGTCTTGTTCATCTCCTCCTCCTCCTCAGTAATTGTTTTAATTCCCCCGGGGCTGGGAGGTGGTGACTGAAATCTTTGTGCTGTTCTATTGTAGAGAGATGGAGCTGGAGGAGTTGGGTGAAGCTCTTTTAAAAATTAACCAAAAGTAGGCTGGGGCTCAGCGGTAGAGCACTCCCCTAGCACGGGCGGGGCCCTGGGTTCCATCCTCAGCATCACATAGAAATAAGTAAATAAAATAAAGGTATTGTGTCCAACTACAACTAAAATATATATATATATATATATATATATATATATATATATATATATATATATATATATATATATATATATATATATATATATAAATAATGCCAGGCGAGCACGCTACCGCTTGAGCCACATCCCCAGCCCCTTGGGGTTTTTTTAAATATATATATATATAGCGCGCTCGCCTGGCATGCGTGTAGCCCGGGTTCGATCCTCAGCACCACATACCAACAAAGATGTTGTATCCGCCGAAAATTAAAAAATAAATATTAAAAAAATAATAATAAAGTTTAAAAAATAAAAAAATTTAAAAACCCAAAGTAATATCTGATTATTGCATAAATTTTCAGAGAATACAGACAAGTAAACATAATTAAAATCATCTTTAATCTTCCATTTCTAACTCATTGGTGTCCACCCTTCCAGGGTTTTCCCTGTGCATGAAGATACCAGGGACAAGAGGTGACTGGTCGTCTCCCAAGGTGTCGAACCTCCCCAGGGGCTGTGAAGTAACCCCAAACGCAATGCCTCTAGTACCTACCACTTAGGACTACTTATCAATGATTGCCTGAATGATTAAGAGTTATATCTCTATAAACAACATGTCTCCGCATGCCCCTCACTCAGCAGCCCTGCAGGTGCAATTCCATGTGGGCCTCCAGGAGGCTGGACCTCCCCCATCAGGGGGAGGGTACTTCATCGTCATTGCTTGCTGTTTCAATGATAGATAATGGTCTGGTTTTGTAATCATCAATCTGGTTTGTTGTGGACTTTTCTGTTTAACCTCACTGCCTGCAGGGACGCATATCTACAACAACAGCTTTGAGCCTGTCATCTCCTATAACCAGGCTCTGGTACACACATGGCTGCATCCAGCTGGATCATTCATCTCCAAGGAGTGAAAAGTCTGCAGATTCCCACAATAGGTACGTACAGTCTTGCCGGTTGTGCTCCCTAGACAACTTGTAACATATTATCAGAGAAAGTAATAGAGTGCTGAGTTATTTTTAAGTCCTAGGGCATTACTTTTAAAGAGGATATGTACATAAATAGTTTTCTAAGAGGTAGAAGAAAAACAGAAGTCTAAGAGCGGTTCATAGAGTTGGTCGGCACAAATTACTGGCTGCTGCAGCTGCTTGTTTTTTTGTACAGGGATTGGACCCAGGGACACACTACCACCGAGCTACACCCCATCCCCTTTTTATTTTTTATTTTGAGACCAATTCTCTTGATAAATGTTCCAGGCTGGCCTTGATCTTGTGATCCTCCTGCCTCACTCAGCCCTCCTAAGGCAGGACTGGGATCCCAAGTGGGGGCTCTCACACCAGCTGTTTCCCTTCACTGTTTACCACTCTACCCTGGCAACATTAATTTTCAGAATTCACGGGGTCTCCCATGTTATCCACTTGCTTTGATAACCTATAGGGGTTTCAGGGGACAGAATAGTGAGCTGCCCAACTGGCTAGAGGTGTTCCACAGCTATATTTATATTATATACTATTGATGTTGGTGACCAGAACTGGCTTTTGAAGCTCCAAGAAATTAAGAAAAAGTTAGCCCCCAAAGAAACAGAGGTCTCCAAAAGCGGTTAAGTGCTCAGGCCCCAAGTTAACCAATAAATTAAAGAAAAGGAGTGGCATTTACCTAGTATCTGCATGGGCTGGGCATTGCGGTTAGTAGATACTGTTATAAATAAAACTGCAGAATCAGTAATAATGTCAAAACAAGACTAAACCCCATGGCTACCAGGCCTCTGTAGAATGTTCTACATGTCTGTATAACCACTTAATGTACATTTAGACTCATAACTACCCACAAGGTGACCTCTATGCAGCCTGTGATTTTATGCATTAAATCCAGACCTTTAAGCTGCCTGTCCTCTGCTAGCTCAGTCTTTGAGTGCAGCCTGCCTGAGACTGGCTTAGCTCCTGGCCTGCTCTGAGATCCCACCAAGTTGGGACCCAAAGAGTAGACTGAGGTCTACTCTCACTTTTTCTTCCTCCTCTTCCCAGCCTATGAGTGGAGGGGCTTAGTCCCAGTTGCAAGGACAATGTCTCAATCACCACAGCTCATAGAAAGCAACTTGTGCAGGCTTGAAGGCAGCCTGGCCAGAGTGCTGCAGTTTTTTTCAGGAGAAGCAGGTTGAGGTTGATTTCCTAAGAGCCAATCTGCAGAAAGCCAGTTTTCAAATGGCCAATTCATAGTTGGTAGAGTTGTAAACTGAAGGACCAATTTACAAAACAACCAATTACTTTTTTTCCTCCTTGGTCTTAACTGACCAGTGTTTATCCTGTCTTTACAATAGAATTTGGAAGAAAGGTACCTTGCTTTCTCTCTTCTGCCCTGGAGCTACAACTGAGGAGAAACCGGAAGAGCTAGAGGCTGAGATCCAGCAGCTTTTGTAGAACTTTCCTCAGAGTGACTTTCTGGGAATTGACAGAGGGCCTATTCGAAGTGTCTACCATCTTCTTTCCAAAGGGAATTAGTAAAGCTTTGCCATTTAGTTTTTTTCTTTATTTTTCTTTTGGTATTTGGGTTTAAACCCAGGAGCTATACCACTGAGTTACATCCTAAACCCTTTATAATGTTAAGTCAGAGACTTGCTAAATTGCCCAGGTTGGCCTTGAACTTGAGAGCCTCCTACCTCAGCCTCCCAAGCTGCTGGGGTTACAGGCATGTGCTGCTGCATCCAGCTAGACTTTGCCGTTTCTAATTTGTCTTTGACAAGTCAGTATTGACAAGTTCACAAAAATTTCCATCTGTACACACAGAGGAGAAAGCCCTGAGGGGTCAGATTGGAGATGCTGGCCTAAAAGATTGTAGGGATGTGGTCTCAAGTCAAGCCATGCCAGTGGCCACCAGGAGCTGGAGGCTCAAGAAGCAGTTTCAACCCCAGAACCTCTGGAGGGAGAGCAGCCCTGTCCATACCTCAGTTTCAGTCCAGTGACACTACTTTCAGACTTCTGCCCTCCAGAGAGAGTAAACTTTTGCTGTGTTAAGCTACCAGTTGGGGTAATTTGTTACAGCAACTTTAGGAAACCAACACAGATTTTTGCCAGTCGGACAAACCACAGAGCTAAGTTGGGGACAGCCTTAGGCCTCGCTGGGCCACCAGCCAGGGTTCTGCATTTGGGGATATCAGATGGAAAGGCAGAAACAGACTAGCTCTCACAGACAGCAGAGTACAAGCCACAGTGCCTGCTTTTAATTAACCCCAAACAATATATCCTTCTCATTACTGTCCAACAAAATTACAGTTTTCTGATTTTATTTTTTTCCAGGAAGGTGCCATTCATTCATTAATTAACTTATTTATTGTGGTACTGGGGACTGAACCCAGGCCCTCATGCATACTAGGCCAGTACATCCCCACCCCAACTTATATTTTGGAATGAATGCCCCGTGCGGTAGTTCCAGATACTTGGGAGGCTGAGGCTGGAGGATCACTTGGGCCCAGGAGTTCCAGACCAGCCTGGGCAACCTAGCAAGACTCTGGGTCAAAAAGGAAAAAGAAAATTTTTTTTATAAAGATGAAAATAAATCCCATATGAAATAAAAAAAAAATTCCAAGGAAATAATATAAAATGTAGGCAAATTTCTGATATGATTGTGTGGGTTTTGTTTCGTTTGTTTTTTTTGTACTAGGAATCGAACCCAGGGGCACTCTACCACTGAGCCACACCCCCAGCCCTTTTCTGTATTATAGACACAGGGTGTCACTGAGTTGCTTAGGGACTCGCTAAGTTGCTAAGGCTGGCTTTGAACTCTCGGTCCTCCTGCCTCAGCCTCTCCAGCCGCTGGGATTACAGATGTGCACCATGGCTCCTGGCTGTGACTGTGTTTTATGCAATTGTAACCCCCTCCCTCATGCACTCTGTCCAGTCTTCCCCACACAGCCAGAGTGATTTGTGAAAAACGCAATCTGATCATGTCATGAAATTTAAGAAAATTATAAACTATCATTTAATGGGAGGAGAGACAGGCAGTCGGAATCCAGGAAGGGGCCAAGGAGGCTTTAGCCATGCAGACAGGGCTCTGGTTGAGAAAGCATATTGGATCCATGGGTGCTACAGCTTAGATCTGGGGTGTCCCCCAAAGTCTCATATTGAAAGCATGATTGCCAGTGCAGCAGGGTTCAGAGAGGAGGCTTCTAGGCAAGGACTGTATCATGAGGGCTGTGCCCTCATCAGTGACTAATCCACCAAATGGTATCATCAAATGGATAGCATATCTGTAAGCCCAGGGACTAGGGAGGCTAAGGCAGGAAGACTGCAAATTTGAGGCCAACCTAAGCAACTCAGCATTGCCCTAAGCAACCTAGCAAGACCCTGTCTCCAAATAAAAAATAAAACAGGCTGCATTGAACCTCTGGGTTCAATCCTCGGTACCAAAAAATAAATAAATTGACAGCTGAATGGACTATTGGGCGGTAGGACCTACTTGGAAAAAGTGGGTCACTGCAGGCATATCCTGGAGGGGTTGGTCTCTACCCGGGTCCCTTCCCCTCTCTGTTCTCAGGCTGCCATGGACGGGGCCACTCTCCTCCACCAAGCCCTTCTGCGAAGAAGCTTCTGCATTGGAGGCAGCCAGCGCAGACTGAAAGCTGTTAAACCGTGAGCCAAAATAAACCTTCCCCCTCCAGGTTGTTCATGTCAGGTATTTTGGTCACAGTGAGGAGAAGCCAACTAACACACTGAGTATTTGGTTCATTGTCATATTTCAGTGACTTACTCGGTGTTGCATACGTGTGCTTTATACATTTCAAATATCTACACCATCACCACCAACAGCAAAACAACGTGACGGCTTCCTAACGTTCCTAAGGTAAGGCAGACAGGCAGAAACCTTGACGTGACTGGTGGGGCCTCGTCTGCCTGGACCTGCGGTCCTCGCCTCTCGCCCTCAGTCCCTGCTTCTCAGCCTCCCCAGCCTCCTCTTCCCTTCCTGCAGGCTGCCAGGCTCCCTGCTGGCCGGCTCTTGCCTGTTCCTCCTGCTGTCACCTTCAGAAGGTCGGGGAGCACCGACCCTGCCCCCGAACCTCTCCTTTGCAGCAAGTTCACACCTATGGTTTACATTTCTTTGTTGGTTTCTGGGTTAGTGTCAGTCTCTGTAACCTCAGGTTCCGTGAGGCCAGAACTACACCTGGCGCTTCACAGAACATGGTAGGCCACCCAAAGTATTATTGAAAAACGAAACATGTACGTTTTCCTTGAAAGACAGGCCATAGCTGTGGCACTCCCACACAAACCAGAGTCTTCCCACAGGAAGGTGACGGATCTCGTTCTAAACTGTCCTTCCCACTGCACACTCCAACTCTGATTGACCCGGCCCACGCCCTGTCTCTCTGGAGTTCCAGGTTGAAGTTCCAATATGGAGTGAGTGCACTAATAAATTAACCCACAAAGCAACAAATTCTGACAGCTGCCTGGGCTGCACTACCCGGGCACCCAGCCCTGACGCACACACAGCAAGAGCCCACTTATCAGAAGCCTCCACAAACCTCTGTCCTGCCCACTGCTAAAGACCAAGTTCCCAATCCAGATAACACCAGCCAGCAAGCAGTATTTGGAGACTTGATATAGAGGCTGTGAGTAGGTTCTAAAAAGCTACCTCGTCCAGACTCCTCTCCCACTGCCTAAATTTTAAACTAGACTGGCTTTGCCTTTGCTAGACAGGAAAACTCCCACTGCGCACTCCGTCTTTGATGGCAGAGTCTGTATTTTCTGCTTAACAAAGAAGGCTCAAGGGGCTGGGGGTATAGCTCAGTTGCCAGAGTGCTTTTCTTGCATCCACAGGGCCCTGGGTTCAATCCCCAGAACCATCACACACACACAAAAAAAGAAAGAAAGCTCAAGGAAGGCAGGACTTCAGAGAGATGAATGAGACCCTGTTAGTTTCCACCCCTGCACCCCAAGCTGATGAACCTTTTCTTACTAGGCGCTGCCCACCTGAATCAGTCTCCTTGTCTGGGAAGTTCCAGGCTTATGGGGTGGCTGTAGGGGTGGGTGGGGGGAAGGATTCTTATTTAATACAACAAAGAGTCAACATTGTACTTTGGAATAGTTAGATATTGCCATTAAAATGAAAAATAAAAAAAGGAGGGCTATAGTTACCATTCCTTTTTTTAGGAATTTAACCTTTACTTTTTATTTATCTGTTCTTTTATGTAGTGCTGAGGATGGAACCCAGTGGCTCACCCTTTCTCGGCAAGCGCTCTACCACAGAGCCACAGCCCAGCCCAATACAGTTACCATTTTTATCTTATTAACTCTAAGAGCCACTGTCTTCATACCTTAGTATTTCTGATATTGGAACATGAATTGCATTATAAATGCATTCTCAGTATAGTGCCCTCCATTTGTTATTAAATCAAGAGCATGTTCTTATGCTCAATGGTCTTAGAAAAAAAATTCACATCCTTACACATGAATATTATGGCATATTCTACATCCCCAAAAGAAATAAGCGATAAACTATAGTTTTTGTTCAGATGTGAGGTGTTCCCCAAAAGTTCATGTGCGAGATAACGCAAGAATGTTCAGGGGTGAATGATCAGATTATGAGAGTCACAATCCAGTCAGTGGTCAACCCCCTGGTGTGGATTCACTGGTGGTAACTAGGCAGGTGGCTTGTGGCTGGAGGGAGGACTGGGGTGTGCCTTTGTCCTCTGTGAGCCTCTCTCCCACTTCCTGGTTGCCGAGTCCTGAGCTGCTTCCCTCTGCCAGCCTTCCACCATACTGTTCACGGCAGGCCCAGAGCCATGGGGTCAGCTGGCCGTGAACTGAGCCCCTGAAACCATGAGCCAAAATAGACATTTCCTTTTTCTAGGTTGGTCTTGTCTGGTCTTTTGGTCACGGCAACACAAAGCTAACTAAAATAACTATTAAAAAGGAAAGAAAGGGGCTGGGATTGTGGCTCAGCAGTAGAGCGCTCGCCTAGCACGGGCGGGGAGCGCGGGCGGGATCCGGGTTTGATCCTCAGCACCACATTAAAATAAAGGCATTGTGTTGTGTCCATGTACACCTAAAAATAATTTTTTTTAAAGAGGAGAGAAAATGGATTATGTGAAGATGATACTATCACAACCCTAGTTGAGCCAAGAGGTTCAATTGACAAACTCTTTTTTTTTTTTTTTTTAATATTTATTTTATTTTTTTTAGTATTTGGCGGACACAACATCTTCGTTTGTATGTGGTGCTGAGGATCGAACCTGGGCCGCATGCATGCCAGGCGAGCGCGCTACCGCTTGAGCCACATCCCCAGCCCCTGACAAACTCTTAAAATGAACACCTGTCAAGGAATATGGCTAGATATAAGAAAAATATACAAAACACAACAATTTCCTTATACTTAGGGGAAATATTCTATTTTTTAATAGCAAGCAAAACATAAAAAGAAATATCTAGGAATAATTTTAAGAAATATGTAGAGCTTGCATGCAGCAAGTTATAAAAATTTGAGTATATGTCCTAAATAGAAAGATATACTAACCCCTATAAATGCTAATTCCTGCCAAATTTTAAAACAATTTACTACAAACTCTATGAGGCTGGGGGATAGGGAGTGGGTGCCACATTTCCTCAAACGAACCCTACTGTGTGTAGAATCCAGTGCATAATAAAGATTCAAAAGCCATAGCCCTGAGGGACCGGGGCTGTGGCTCAGTGGTAGAGCACTTGCCTGGTACGTGTGAGGCACTGGGATCGATCCTCAGCACCACATATAAAATAAAGATATCGTGTCCAGCTGCAGCTAAAAAAAAGCTGTAGCAATGAGAAGACGGATAATTCAATAGATGGAGCTGGGGCAACTGGTTGGCTATTTGAAAGAAAAAACAAAAATCTAGATTCTTGCTTTACATTAATAGACCCAATTTCAATTGTAATAAAAGATTAAATATAGAAACCCCTTAAGTAAAAATGAATTTTAAAAAGGCTGTGTGTATTATTTGATCTGTTTCACAGCAGAATCACAAAGGAGAAGACTGATATCGGTTCACTGCAAATAAGTTTTGTATTTAAGAAAAACAACATGATGTTTGAAAATGTTCACAGTAAAAAGTTTAAAAATATATAAACCAATACACAAATGAAAACACAGACGTCACCGTCCCCACACGTGCGCAAGACAGTTAATATGTACACGTGTGTGTGATGCTCACGCACCTGGAGCAGAGTGAACGCACGGCAGCTCTCAGGTGGCAGCACTGAGATTATCTTTTCATTCCCACGACCATCTTGTGAGAGAAGCGCTCACTGCCTGTTTATGGAAGGGGAAGCTGAGTGGAACACAGTCGGAGAGGTTCCAAGAGCATACAGTGAATGCCAGGCATTCAGACCCAGGCATCTTGGCTCCAGAGTGGGTGCTCCTGGCCATGAAGCTATGTTATCCCCACTAAAACAAAGCGCAAGTGCTTGTCAGACATTCAGGAAAATATTCAAACTAACAGAGACATGAAAATGAGTCAGCAGTTAACCACTGGGATGACTCAGCGCTGGTGGGGACCACGGCTACCTTCATGATCTAATCGGATTCTTGGAATCCATCTTGGCCTCTTTGAAAAGTTCTCAAATCTGATTTAGGTCCCTGCCACCTGTGTTCTATAAGCCTTTCTATAAGCCCATTCCTCCTAGGATAAAGGCCCCAGAGTGAAACAAGATCTGCACCAGGTCCCCACCCCTGGTCTAGCCCACTCTCAACAGACTTCAAGAGCACCTTCTGTCCTACTGCCCAATAGCACAGAACTCTCTTGCAGTCTTGAAAAAGCCAAATCACAGACTCTTTTCTCTTCTGGTCTTGTTCTGATATCAGAGGGCATCTAAAGTTCGCAGTCCCCAGAACCCTAGGTAGCTTTCTTTGTAATCTTACGTAGTTGTCGTTCTACGTTCCTGAGATCATTTGATTAATCACATCTGTCTGTCCTGTGTAGAAAGTCTTGTGCTTCCATGAGCCACCACAGTGCCTTGTCTACAGACGGTGCTCAAGAACTGTTTCCCAAATGAATGTCACGTACTGAGCAAATGAAAGAAAGGGGGGGGGGGGAGAAGAGGAAAAAATAACAAGGACAGGAGAAGACTCAGGCACTTTCCTATGCCAGTAGTGAGGCTACCTGATGGGTTCAACTTCTTCACCAAGTGATAGGTTAATGTGTGCTGAAAGCGTTTAGTACGTTTAGAACTTCAGTTAATAATGATCATGTGAAAGTAATAAATTATTTCATCATTATTCATTAAACAATGTCATTAAGTCATAAAATCAATCTCGAGGAAGAGAATTTGAAACTTAGCATGAACATCGATGTTCACATGAACAAACAGCATGGTTTAAAATAGCAAAAAACTGAAACGAGCTTTAACACTTGAAGCTGTAGACCTGCTCCAGTGGATCATGACAAAGATGATACTTACTGACAATGGGAGAGGTTAATTTCCTAAACAGAACCCCAAACCGTAAACCTAGCACAGGTGCAGCTTTGAAGACTCATGTGCCCAAGAGGCGAACACTGCTGACCAGCTGCCCACCCCAGCATGGAGCCTTCCTTTCTGGGAACCCTGATCTTTGTCCACTTACCTCTGAGAGGATCAGCTCTCTCTGAGACCCAGAGGGAGGCGACCTTGATGGTCTTGGCATTCCACTCCCTCAGGTGGGCAGTGATACATGGGATAATTGTGGCCAGCAAACCACCCAAAGAAGTCTGTTGGGGAAGGGTTTCTGGGGCAAGGGTCCCTTGCTGTGAGTAGGTGACATCTGAAGATGGTGGAGTGAAGGGCTGGACACTGTTGAGTTGCTGGGTCAACCAGCACAGCAATGCATGAAACACCCAAATATTAATGGTGACGTCTGAGAGGCGGGACTTCAGACAACTCATAAAGATCAAGAAAAGTTGTCCTGCATCCATTACACTTAGGATGTGGTCTTATTTACATTTTGATAGCTTTCTATAATCTTCAATTTTGCTTTTAATAAAATACAAAACAAAAAATAAAAAGTGTGTATCACCCTTAAAATGGGGGGGGTTAACTAGTATGTGTGGGGGCCTGGGTTCAATCCCCAGCCCCCACACAAAAAAGGTTAAAAACAAAAAGACGATATTGACAAAGCTCACAGTCTAGTGATGGGGAACCCATGTAAATAATAAATAAATGACTAAAATGTGAGACAAAAGCACAGTGGAATACCTTTTCACAGCTACCAGAGCAGCTAAGATAAAAGGTTCACAATACCTAAGCCGGGAAACAGCTAGAATCCTGTGGGTGGGAATGTAGAGTGGCACAACCGTCTGGGAAAACTGTCGAGGCTGAACCCAGCGACGGTAGTCCTGGGCACTTAGTCCCCACAATGAAAGAAATGTCTACGAAAAGACTGTACAGGAATCTCAGGAACCAAGGGCTGAGGGAGGGGGAAAGGAGTTAGGTTCAATGAGAACAGAGTTCTCAGTTTGCAAGACCAAAGTGTTCTGGATTTGTGTTGCAAAACAATGTAAATATACTTAATATTACTGAACCTTTAAAAAAGGTTTAAGACGGTAAATTTTACATTATGTTGTTTGTTTGTTTAATTACCACAATAGAAAAATGGGGAAAAATGTTGATGGGGTTTTACTCTTATTAGCCCCTAACTGGAACAACCCGACTGTCCGTAAACACCTTGATGTGTATTCACACGGTGGATCCGGACCCAGACAACTTTGTTGCACCTCACTGGAAGAAGCCACGCACAAAAGCACATATTGCATAATTCCACTCGTATGAAATTTAAATGACAAAACGAATCTGTGGTCCTAGACATCAGAACAGAAGTGGTCTTTGGGAGTAGTAGTGACTACAAAGGGGTACAGGGGCTGGGTGTGGTGGCACATGCCTGTAACCCCAGAGACTCCGGAGGCTGAGGCAGGAGGATCACAAGTTCCAGGCCAGCCTGGGCAACTTAATGAGACTGTTTCAAATTAAAAGGAAAAGGGCTGTGGAGGTAGCTCAGTGGTAGAGCACCCCCAGAAAAGAAAGGGGCACAGGGAAGCTTCCTAGGGCAATGGGAAGATTTATTTCTCCATCTGGGTGGCAATTAAAATATATGAAAAGAACACATAGGTCACACATAGCTACATCCCAATAAAAAGGTCTTAGGACAAAGTGAGGAAGGGGAATCCATCAGCACCTCCTACTGAGAAGCTGCTTGCTGACGCTGAGTGCCTCTTTAAGCCCGATAGCTCCAGATCAATATCATTTCCTGCGGCAATTTATGGAAATGCTAGGCACACCAAAATTTTAAGAAAGAGTGCCCCCTGACTTATGATGGGGCCACAGCCCAATGAGCCATCGCAGGTTGAAAATAGAACAAGGAGAGAGAGTGCTAACACACCTAACCCATGAACATCACAGCTTAACAGCAGTAACCGGAGCGCTGTGGTCTCCCCTCCTCTCTGTGTGGCTGACCTGGGACTCAATGTGTATGGCTTCAGAGCCATTATAAACTGGAAAGTCGAAAGTCAGATCATTCTACGTAGGGAACCACCTCCGTTTGAATTGGTTTGTGGGAGCAAGCTTTGCTAGTCTGATAAATTATTTTAAAAGGGGAAAATATGTAAGCATAGTAATGTAAACATCTTTAAAATAAAACATAGACCTTTATCTAATGAAAACTGCTTTTATTTAAAGTGTCACACATTTTCATCAAGTATCCTAAAATCTGAAATAAAACTGAATATTAGCTTTTGAAAGTCATGTCAAAACTAGAATACAGAATGAAGAAGAAACTTTGAAACTTACAAGCAAAGAGAGCAATCAAAAAGGATTAAAATTTATCTACATAAGAATGAAAAATAGGTTTTACATGTTTAACAATAAAGCCAAAATTAGGTGAAGAATGATAAAATGGGAAAATGTTCGGAGCAAGTTAACTTTTTTCTTTTGCAATGAGCAAGTACTCATGTTTTTGGAGCATTTGTATAATTTATGTTAAAACCACTTGAGCATAATAAATTAATAAACAAAATATTATTTGAGAATTTTGAAAATAGAAATAAAAGTAGTAAGATAAGCAAAAAATGTTCACTTACAAATTACAATGAAATACCCTTTTCAATTGAGTTAGATTTTCCTTTTTTTAGTTAAAATGGCCAGATTTAGAGAGGGCAGGTGGGAGATACACATCCAGTGCTCAGGCATCGCCGACGGCAGTGGGAACGGGAACAGGCTGAGCATCCTTCTCTGATAATCGGAAACCCAACATGCTCCAAAATATGAAACCTTTCAGCTCTGATACGATGCCATAAATGGAAAATTCCATACCATGAAATGCTATTCCATGCACAAATTATTTTTAAAAATTGTATAAAAGTACATTTGGGCTGTTGTGGTTTGGATATGAAGTGTCCCCCAAAAGCTCAAGTGTGAGCCAATGCAAGAGGGTTCACAGGGGAAATGATTTGGGTGTGAGAGCCTTAAGTAATCAACAAAATAACCCCTAATGGGATTAACTGAGAGGTAACTAGTGGTGGGTGGGGTGTGGCTGGAGGAGGTGGGTCACTGGGGGCATGGGTTTGGGGCATATGTTTGTATTTGGCAAGTGGAGATCTCTCTGCTTCCTGATGATCAGTGAGCTGCTTCCCTCCACCACACTCTTCCACCATCATGTCCTTCCTCACCTTGAGCCTGAGGAATGGAATGTACTGGTCGGGCCTTTTAGTCACAGCAGGGAAAAAGCTGGCTAAAACAGGCCAGGCATATATGAAATGTAAGTGAAATTTCATGTTTAGTGTTGGGTCCCATCCCCAGGATGTGTAGGCATCTATTCCAAAATCTGATATCTGAAACACTTCTGGTCCCACACGTTTTGGATAAGGGACACTCAATCTGTTATTTGCTTTTTAGGAAGCAATCAGGACTAAGCACTCTAATGAGTACTGCAGCTGGCCTGGAACTGGAGCTTGGAGAC